ATTTTTAAAACATATATCTTATTAAAAATCAGAAAAAAATTAAGAAAAATACCCAAATCCATGGCTTAATGGCTGTTTCCTCTATTGACCTAAGGATTAGTTTTGGATGTGTGCTGGGTTATCAATGGAATGAGATGATTGAAAATGACAGATTTCTATCACGACTTTCCCTTTTTACCCTTTTGCAAAAATATCGACCCTATTCTAAATATACATGTGCCCAGAAACTTATAGAATAATAACATAGAGTCTTTTAGTTTTAGTTTCTGGATGCTTGCTATAACACTGAGATGACATTAGTTACCATTTGCTGAATATCATCACTATAATGGAACTTCATTTGATTAAATAACTTTTAAATTTGATAAAAGAATTTGTGATTCAGCACTGAAAAAAGAGATTTGATTCTCAGAACCTTTTTCTTATATCTTTTTCCATCACAGAATCACAGTTTTGTTGCCAACTGAAGCTCTGGTTGCCCGTCATATGCGCAGCTTTTGTTGTCCTCTGCATTTTGGGATGTGCGTTTATTTCTTGGCTTACAAAAAAGGTGAGCAATTGCTATTTTTAATTTCATCTTCTTACTGAGGAATATCAGTGATTTCTTACTCATCAAAAGTACACATCGCTCTTACCAAGGCGATCACCGGAGAGGCAATTCCTTTTCCTTTTACCCAATATATACCTACTAATTAAACTAATAATTTGAAACAGAAGCTTATTTATTTATTTATCTTAGAGACCATTTCAGTGCAAAGAGGAGTCAATGGCTAACAGTGAAATATGTTATTGTTATTATTTTAAAAAGATAAGGAAATTGTGGTCAAGGGAAGACAATAAAACCAGGAGAAAAGTCAAAACTTACAGAGAGATGGCTATGATTTGTAAAAGATATTAAAAATGGGTTGCAAGTTTGATTCTAAACTTCGTAAGAGCTGGGTCAAAGATGAAATGATTAACTACAGTACAAGTTTCGCTCAGTTGGCAAGATAAAAATAATCAGTGAAATAGTCTTACAAGCTGTCAGTAGCAGAGAAGGAAATTGCTAGTTTTTTCATGTGATAAGTGATAACACTCCTTGCTTTGAATGAAAACCATGCTGCATGCTATATAAGCATGCTAATATGCAAGTATACCCACAGTGTGGTCATTGGCCAGACATTGTATTTATCTGCGTCAAACTCAAATTTGAAACAAGGGATAAGAAAAAAAAAATAGTAGGATAGGGCAGGGGACCTAAGTCTACTGGGGAAGGAACAATAAAGTGAAAATGAGGTGGAAGTTCAGCAGAAAGTTCTTTTTATTTAAAGCTCTTTTCAGAATGTTCTCCAACTTAGCCTAAAATCAGGAGCTTAATGCTTTTTATTATTATTATTATTATTAATGTTCTTGTCACATACCACTTACAAAGAAAGAATGGAAAACAGACAAAAACCAGAGATGGAGATAGGGAAGAGCAGATGATAAACTATGTTTCTGACTTCTTTTCTTTCAGAAGTATCAATCCACTGTGCATGAACCTAATAGTGAATACATGTCCATGGCAGCAGTGAACACAGCTAAAATACCTGGACTCAGAGGTACAACTCCACTTGGGCATTTGGTCAGCGGAGGGGAAGAGTCTTCACATTATGCCTGGGGTTTTAATTTTTTATTGTTATTTTAAAGGAAGGGAATATATGTCTTGAACTGCCAACCTTTTGGCTAGTAGTTGAGCATATAGCCAATGAGGCAGAAGCCACTGTATTTTGTCACCAGTTAGTGTTTACCAAACCAGAAAAACAAACTCATTGTCATCAAGTCAATTCCAACTCAAAGCGACCCCCATTGGGTTTCTGAGGCTGTAAATCTTTACAGAAGTAGATTGTCCCATCTACTTTCCATGGAATGGCTAGTGGGTTTGAACCTTTAACCTTTGGGGTAGCAGCCAAATGCCTTATCCACTAAGCCACTAGAGCTCCTTAGTTAGTGGTTAAGGACTGTGTAAAAGAGAAATTGATGCCTAACGTATCAAGTTAATCTCTCAGTTGCCCAGAAGGTAGTATCAAAGCTTTGACAGTAGCCCAGAGCTTGTGTTTCATGACTTTGCTATTGAAAAAATATATTTTTTCTCTCAATTGCTGTGCTAATAGTAATGAATTCTGTCATAGTTTGGATATGAAAACCTGAGACAGGGACTTGGGTGCAGGTAGTTTATTTGGGAGGTGATCTTAGGAGGAAGGAGTGAGGGAGGAGAGAGAAGGAGGCAGGGAAGGAAATGATGCAAATGAAGGGTGCATCGCCTAAGGTCTCAGCCATAGGCACAGGGGCGTGGTTTCCCCCGGGACCTCAATGATGCGCACAGACTTTGTAAGTAGAGGCTTTTAAGAACTGTTATGCTGCTAGTTTGCGGTTGCATCTAGGGGTCATTAACTTTCTTCATCCTTGCTGTGCCCTGGGCTTGGTGTGAACAGGCTCTCAAGTCATAGGAGAAATCCCTGAGGCAGAAAGAAAAGCAGAGAACTGCCCTGTGAGGATCTGGTGGTAGAACGGCCAATTGTTCAGAACTGTCTGTCCTGGCTGGAATCTACCTCACCTGTTGAGCCTATCATGTATCTTGCAATTGTTGTTCTTGTTGTTATGTGTTGTCCAGTCGGCCCTGACTCATAGCGACCCCTCCTTGGGTTTCCGAGGTGGTATCTCTACGGAAGTAGATTGCCCAACCTTCCTCCCGAGGAGTGGCTGGTGGGTTTGAACCGCCAGCCTTCTGGTTAGCAGTCAAGTGCCTTAGGCACTATGCTACCAGAGCGCCTATCTTGTAATTACTTTTAGATAAATAATGACTGTGAATATGGCTGCAATGTAAGCTTCTTAAGAGCGGAAAGGGTGGGTCTCTTTTCTATGTTCTGAAAGCATTATGCACAATCCCAAACACAGCTAACTCAACAGTCCTGTAAAATATGGTTCATGCTAGGGCCTCAGGCAGATGACTCCACAGACTTAGCACAGTAGTACTTAGCATAGTAGGTGCTCCATAGGTGTTTATTAAATAAATGAACGTTCCACCTAACTCAAATATTGACTAGACAATTATTATGTGAATAACAATGTACTGTGTATGTGTGTTGGGGAAGCGGAGAGAAGACTCAAGACAGTCCCTATCTTCAAACAGTTTGTAACTGAAGTGGGAGAAGTGATTTGCTTGCATAGAAGTGGAAGTAGTATGATAGAGTTAAAAGTACACAATTAATTGCAAAGAGAAGAGTTCCAATAATATCTGTCACAGGACTCCATAGCTGGCTGGGTAAAACATCATTGAAAATGTGGAACTGGAGCTGGGTCGTGAAACATAATTAAGCTTTTGGATGGTGCACATGTGTCTATGTGTGTGTGTTTCTGTGTTTATGAGGCAGAGAGAAAACTTTTGAAAGGATGGGCACATGGAGAGCTTTTTAAGAACTTATTCTATAATTCTGTTACAGATGTGACGATGTAACTTGGAACTTTCTGGCCCCCGGGCATGAACCACATTGGCCAGCTCACCATCTTGAAGTACGAGATTCTCTCCTTTCCTGGACCACAGAATCTGACTTGATTTGACTACATAGATCTCTTGCTGGTATTTTGGACCAGTGACTCCATCAGTCAACAGGGATTTATTTCAAGAGACTGCCTCCATACTGCTGAGTTATCTCAGAACAAACACCCTCCCACAAAGAGCTGTATAGAAGCCCAGCTCCTGTGTTCTCAGCAAATAGATCCTGCTGGGGAGGAATCCCTGTCTTCACATCTGCTCCTAGTAATGCACCAGCCAGTAAAACAAACGCATCTACAGAAAAATTTTATAAGATGCCCTGGGTACCAAATCTGCAAAGCAAATGGGCAGCCACAGGCCAGCATCTGTCCATATTCCACTAATAGACTACCTCTTTTTTCTGTAGGGAGGAGCATTCCTTTTAAAATCAGACAGTAGAGGGAGATGCTTCAAAACTATAGCTATTTTATTCCTTTTTCATTATGTTTTATACTGTACTAATACAATAGTGGGGGCTCTGGTGGTGTAGTGCCTAAGGCATTTGACTGCTAACCAGAAGGCTGGCAGTTCAAACCCACCAGCCACTCCTGGGAAGGAAGCTTGGGCAACGTACTTCCGTAGAGATACCGTCTCGGAAACCCAAGGAGGGGTGGCTATGAGTCAGATCCAACTCAACGGCAGTGAATTTGGTTTGGTTTTAATACAATAGTATACAGTACTCTTCTTGTTCAACTTTGGATATTTCAGAATCCCAGTCAACTCCCCTACCAATAGCTTAAGCTTAAATACTTTCTCTTGCCCTCAGATATACTTGCTAAAATACTTGTACATGACTGTTTGATTAAGCAAAAAAAAAAAAAAAAAACCCCCCAAACCCATTGTCATCAAGTTGCTTCTGACACCGGCAGCCTCATGCTCCACAGGGCTTTCTTGCCCATAATCTTTATGAAGGCAGACTGCTAGGCTTTTCTTCCATGGCACCACTGGGTGGGTTTGAACTACCGATCTTTAGTTTAGTAGTCGAGCACAAACTGCTTATGCCATCTGGGGACCTGACTACTTAATTAAAAAAAAAAAAAAAAAAAATTCAAAAAGCCATCCCCACTGCCATCAAGTCAATTCCGACTCATGGTGCCACTTTAGCAGAGAGTAGAACTTCCCCATGGGGTTTCCAAGGCTGTACATCTTTATGGAAGCAGACTACTTTATTTTCTCCCATAGAGTGGTGGGTGGGTTTGAACTGCGTACTTTCTGGTTAGCAGCAGAATATTTTAACCATTACACCACCAGAGCTATTTCTACATTCTTTCACTCTGCTCCTCAATCAAATATCATAAGATATAAACTGTTGCAACCTAGTGGATATAATTTACCTATATTCTCCCTATAAGAGTATGTTTTATTTTCCCAAATTCAGTTAAAATGGTTATTTTGTTAACATTAGTGGCAGGAAACATTGCTGGGAATCAAATACAACTTCATAGTATTATCTTGTTTCTATCATTATCTATGTTTTCATGGTGCTTATATCAATTACCAGCTAGGCTATTTCTAAGCAGCTCTGGTGGCATATCACTGCTAACCAGAAGGTCAGCAGTTCAAACCCACCAGTCACTCTATGGGAGGAATACAAGGCAGTCCACTTCTGTAAATATTTATAGGCTTGGAAACACAATAGGGGTCACTATGAGTTAGATTTGACTTGATTGTAGTGAGTTTGGTTTAGGTTATTTCTGTAGATCAGATTGTAATTTTAAAGTAACAGTCAACATGCTGACTGTCAAACATTCTCCTGAGGTAGAGCCAATTATCTGTTTAGCACAAAAGCTGCAGTTACTACAAGTTGCTGTCAGACTATAATCATGCTGTCTCTGGGTCAAAATGGAGAAATCAATCCCATCTCCAGGACCCTGGAGCCCTCCAGACCTGGGAGGAATTCCAAGGGCTGAGAGACTCCCCAGAGCCAGGGTCTGTCAGGTGCTCTTGATTCGAGAGGTTGAAGTTACCCTGGGAACCACAGGAGCTCAACCTGCACTTGTGACTCCAGGATCTACGAAGAAGGACAGATTTACCAGGGAATCAAGATGATTCCACTAGCCTAGAAATCATTAATACAGAAAATGGTCCTAAGCTTTCAAAATAGGCTCCCTTTAAATATGATTTGGCTGGAAAGTTCTTAAATATATGTAACGTGATATTCTTAGTTGGACTATTTTCTTCACATCCTATATGCAGGCCCAAGGCTTCTGAAATAACTAATGTATATGCTACATTTTAAACTTTAGGTGAAAAGGGGTTACTTAGTAGTTTTGAAATATGTAGTGGCCTGCCTATAGTTTACTTTAAAAGTGAGCTCCTATGTGTCATTATACATACCTATATTATTTTAAGTGTGTGTAATGTGGATATGTACAGTACAGTACTGAATTTGTAATTTGAATCAAGTGTTGTGTTCTGTTTTCAGATGACTTGGACGATTTGTCTGGCTTTGCAGGGGTGTGTAAGGACTAGATTGTGGGGAGAACAGCGTCCATGGGGCACACCTAGCCTGGTTGCCCAAGCTGTGCCCCTGTGGCTTCTTTATCTCCAAACTGGACATTTCAATTATTAAAGGATAAAATTTCTGTGAAATGAAAAAAATCTTTTTTACAGGAGCCACTTACCAAATAGATTTTTGCAGTAATGGTAAGCTAAAGAATAAACATTTGATACTCAGCAACTGAAAGTGTCTCACAGTGTTTTCTTTGTGGAGGGGAATGATTACCTTAGGTAGCAGTTGAAAATTTGAGCTTGAATTTTAAGGTAGTTACGTTGTTTGGAACAGTTGCTTTCCTATTTTACTTTCCACTCCTTTCTTTCCACTTTCTTTTAAAAAAAATGCTTGAAACAACCAAAAACTTATTTTAAAAAAGTAAGAGGACTGACTGTTCTTTTCTTGAGTAAGTTTCTGTTCTAATGGCCTGTCACCAACGAATATTTTGACATGTATTTCCTACAAACAAGAACACTCTCCTCCATAATCATAATGCAACCAAGAATACCAGAAAATTGAATAAATACCTGGCT